TGACAATAAAGTCTTTTAAACCTTACATGTAACGTCCCAATCTTCTCTTTTTCATTAACTGCATTTAAAGCTTACATATAGCTAGTACTAACAATAAATAGTAACGCTTATAGTGAAATCTTTAGGTACAGATTGATTTAACAAATGAATACTTTATGTTCGTTTAGAGCTAAAAAGTGTACTGTACGTACATACATACGTATGTATAAGTTACTATTCTACGCTATGGCATATGATAGTTCGTGTAACAAAGATTCTAGAATCATCTGCTCGGCAGTTAAACACCATAAATAGTGTGATCGATATTATCCAAATATGGAAAAATCTCTGACTGCAATATATGAAATCAGCAAAGTTAAATAATATTAATCAAATATTTATAGTTGGGTCTTGCTATAAATATGAAATTGGTGCTGAAAAAGTCGGCACTGTTATCAAAATAAAAAGGAGCTAAAATAAATGAATATAAAGCATTCATTTATTTTTAAAAGACTGCTTATATGGCATTCAAATAGTATTTAAAAACCACAAATAATGGTTATCAATATCAAATAGATATGATGATAGGTAAAAAAATATTTGTGTGGAATTGAAACCTGCTGAAGTTAATAGACATGATGATATTGGATAGTGTTATTAATATAGAATAGGCATTAAAAAAAGAAATAAAAAAAGGTAAATAGTTTGTGATAGATAAAGAAAATGACGACATGTGTGTGGATCAAGGTATTGGTGGAGAATATTGTAATAATTATTGTTATAAAAATTAAATTAAGGCAATAAGTGATAAACAATCTGTTGAAGATAAAGGTAGAATCAAATTAATGAATGAACAAAGTTCAGAGATAAGAAATGATGTGATAAAGATGATTAATTATGATAATATTTGTCTTGTAATGTTACCTAATTTGGAGCAATAGAACAAAGCTGGTGGTTGTAGAATGTTGATCAAAAAGATGTTTGTTGCATATAATCTTGGAGGTATGTGTCAACGTAGTGTTGATCATGATACTGAAGTAGAAATAGAAGAAAATTCAAATATTAGTGTTGTATATAATAGTAGTGATAAAGGTTAAACAGATGTTTAATAGTATATCAAGGTTGTGGTATAATGTTATGATGGGGATTAAATTTTGTTGTAGAAATTTTATATATAATAACTTAGAAGATAGAGATAGACAAATGATGAACTCTAAATAGAGAATATGTAATTAGTATTGTGTTTTGAAAGTATGGGAAAAAAATGAATATAATAATGGTAATAACTTTGGGGACAAAGTACTAGGAGATCTAGCTTATATGGTGATATTTTAGATTACAGTAAAACCTCTATAAGTGCACCCTCTATAAGCAGTGATGTCACTTGACTATTTGGCCGGCCAATGGCCGAGGCCAAATGGCCAAAAATGTAAATTTCATTTTGACCGAAATGGCCAAATAATGCTAGTAATTTAATTGGTCCAATGTTGATATATATCCATTACTAATTAAGATATAGCTACAGTTACATATTGTCTAATTGCATATACGTTTTATAAATACATAAAAAATTGAC